GATATCAGAAATATATATAGAAGTTAGAAAGGAAATATAAAAGCATGGGAATAAATTCTTTAGAAATCTTAGGACAACCCCTAAGTGTAGAGTTTTCCAGAATGTGGCGAAAATGAGCAAATAAACAGTTGCGGAAATCGCTGTGAACCTACATGTGAGAACGCCTATGGCCAAGTAAGGTTTTTGCAAGCCGTTACTCATCTACTCTTCTACATACTCAAATCAGATTATGAGTGAAAATCTTAATAAATTATAGCCCAAAATCTGCGTTCTTATTTGCGACCCACCCGCTTGCGTATGCAGACCGAACTACTACAGGCAGAACGGAAAATGTGTGCCACAGAGGGAATGTCGTGAGTGCAGAGTTTTAATTTCGTTATTCCTCATCAACATTAGTGTTTTTCCTCTCAATAATAATTTTAGCCCCACCAAACAATGTAAGGAGCCTGAACTACGCCGATGAGCTCATCACGCGTAAGTATTTTTGCATTGACGGGACATTTTCTTACCGCATCAGGCAAACTGCCTTATTGAGTAGAGGAAAACTTTATTTATGAATAATGCGAGGATCCAACAAGTAATTTTGGGTATAAGTTGGTGCAACTGACGCTGCACTTTCACGAATTTCGAATTAGCAAATTAGAAACTAATATAGACTCCACTCTACTAAACCTTCAGATTGAACAACTTATATAATTCTTAGTTCAAAAATTGCTACTCCTTTGGATCTTTAATCGTGACAGATCAGACTTTGAGAAATTCTGTGCTCCTGCCACCTTAATCCTAAGTTTCACAAAGAGCTTATACTCCTATAAAACAAATTATTCGATTAAACTGCAACTTTCATAATGAATTGCTTGCTACTGGTGATATTTTATATACTGTTATAGCTCCAGCAAATCCAACGACGCCTAGGAAGAACAGCTACGTTGATGAGCCGATTACGCGTAAGTTAAATTCAGCTTTCTATCCTGAGGTGTGATTCTTTTGTGAACACAAGTTTTAAAGAACATCTTATCTCTAGTATAAATTGCACTCGCAAATCATGAATTGTAAGCAACAATTTGTAGAACTTCCAGTATACTTCCCTTTTAGCACCTGCAACCCCAACAACAACTAAAAAAAGCAGTTACGTCGATGAACCAGTCACACGTAAGCTAGTGATACTTTTAACCATATAGCTTTCTACTGTACAATATTGCAATATCATTTAATATAATTACTTCTGCAAAGAAAAAACCCTGATGCCATATAAAAATCGTGACACGGCGCATCATCATAACTTTTCTCAATATGGATATATTTCAAAAGAAAATCGGCAAAAGAGGTGCTAGACTCAGCTTTACAAACGAATCTTCTGGTATGTCATACTGCAATAGCATCCAGGGTATACATAGCTAGGGAGGTAAGATGTCAATGTAGCGAATCTCTCTAAATTTCGCATAGGGAGGATCTTCAATGCGCTGATTATGAAAAAAACCAGGCCCTTTTCACGAAGTATTAGTTAAAGATACTGTAGCTACACAGTGGGAGTCAATACTAAACGTTTTGTCGATTTTCAGCCAAACTACATGGCAGTCTTATTATCCTTCTTTTGCAAACATTTATGACCTAGACGTTGCTAATACAACTTTTCAAGATAACATATCAAGCCTCTTTCTAGGCAGCGTTTATACGAAACCATAGTCTGACTTTTACACCCCTTCTATCTCCACAATAAGCG